CGAGATGACTGTGAGCACAACAACAAGGCAGGGAGGGAGGGAGGGAGGGAGGGAGGGAGGGAGGGAGGGAGGGAGGGAGGGAGGGAGGGAGGGAGGGAGGGAAGAGGGACGGAGGGAGTGAGGGAGGGAGGAGGGAGGGAGGGAGGGAGGGAGGGAGGGAGGGAGGGAGGGAGGGAGGGAGGGAGGGAGGGAGGGAGGGAGGGAGGGAGGGAGGGAGGGAAGAGGGACGGAGGGAGTGAGGGAGGGAGGAGGGAGGGAGGGAGGGAGGGAGGGAGGGAGGGAGGGAGGGAGGGAGGGAGGGAGGGAGGGAGGGAGGGAGGGAGGAGGGAGGGAGGGAGGGAGGGAGGGAGGGAGAGAGGGAGGGAGGGAGGGAGGGAGGGAGGGAGGGAGGGAGGGAGGGAGGGAGGGAGGGAGGGAGGGAGGGAGGGAGGAAGAGAGCAGGCCTGAAGGGTGTGAATGGCGTAAAGTCTGTGAAGGAACAGGTGTACCTCGATCTTATCAAAGTAGATCATGACGCCACCCTTGGTGCCGCATGGGATGTTGGTCACCTGCCGTGTGGTGTGGCAATGGCATTATGGCACGATTCATGAGAAAAAAAAAGCACTGGGCTGGGCAGCAAGGATGGCGGGAGTTATCATTTCACACGCACGGAGCATCAGCTATAAGTCATTCACAGCACTGCAGCAGCCGGCCATAAGGAATCGGTTAGCTGCATGTCTCTTACTTCTCATCTCACAAACATCCTCCAACAGGGAGAGTCACCTGGTCTGTCTGCAGCGTGACTTGGATGGGCTCGTATGTGGTGATAAAGGGCAGCAGCAGGTGGTACCCTGGTCGGCATGCAAGCACGCACACACCCTCATAGAGATGCAGGCACCAACACACGCACACACACATGCCCCCCCAACCACCCACGCACAGACACACACACACACACACACACACACACACACACACACACACACACACACACACACACAAAAAAAAAACACAAATGTTTCTTGCACAAATACATGGCATGGAGATGTCGGCCGAACGGCAGAGGACATGGTGAAGCAGAACCACAAAGCCATGTAAACATGGTGACACAGACAACAATACTGTTCATGTGCACACGAGCAACTCCTCCTGCTCACCATCTCCTTGCATCCAACGAGAGCCATGTGCCCGTACAAGTGCACACACATGTGCCCGTACAAGTGCACACACATGTGCCCGTACAAGTGCACACACATGTGCCCGTACAAGTGCACACACATGTGCCCGTACAAGTGCACACACATGTGCCCGTACAAGTGCACACACATGTGCCCCTACAAGTGCACACACATGTGCCCCTGCAAGTGCACACACATGTGCCATGCACCATGCCCTCCACACTCACTCCCTGGAGTCCACTCAACCCTCGCTAGATGAACCCCCTCCCGTGTCAAAATGAATTCAACCGACGGATGACTCGCCTGCATTCAGCTACCCCCCTCTCCGATTCCACTCCCACCCCTCCTCCTGCCCCTCTCCCTGCCACTCCCCTGCCCCTCCCCATGCCCCTCCCCCTGCCATTCCCCCCCTCTCCCCCTGGCCCTCCCCCTGCAACTTCCCCCCCCCCTCCCCCACGCCCACCTGGCTCGGTGACGTGTTTGAGCAGCGCGCCCCCGCGCCAGTACACGCCCACGTGGCCCTCGGGGATCTGGTGCACCACGCCCACGTGCGCGCCCGCTGCTGGCAGTACCACCTGCGCGCGCAGTGGCCACCGCCCGCGGGTGAGGAAGGGGAGAGGCAGGGGGGAGGCAGGGGAGAGGCAGGGGGGAGGCAGGGAGGAGGCAGGGGAGAGGCAGGGGGAGGCAGGGGGGAGGCAGGCGCGAGCGAAGGCGGGCAAGGGAAATCACGGGAGGGGATTGGACCAAGGGGAGCGTTTGAGAAAAAAAAAATAGACGAGCAAGCAAGCAAGCAAAAAGGCGTGGATGGCGGCAACTTGAGGTGGGCGGAGGTCTTAGGAAGGAGGGACGGGCGTGTAGGGTAGCGTGCGACCACTCGTACTGCCTTAAGAACTCTCGTCGTCGCCACCATATGAACTTCCTTGTAAGCGATTCTTTGCAACTCGGTAAAATAGAGCCCCTTTGAGACCATGGGCACGGCCTAGGCCCCACGGTCGATCGGAATTTATTCTTAGAAATATGTGGGTGCGTGTGTGTCTGTGTGCGCGTGTGTCGTACCGCAACCCAGTCGAATGAAACGGCGCTAGAAATCTACCCAGCATGACACGAGAGTCAACGACCCACGCCGTGCGACTGGGATGCGATTTACGTGCGAGACCGACGTGCGACCAGCGTGCGACGATCGTGCGAGCGTGGCGGCAACCCACCGCGATGACGGCGACGAGCGCCATCAAGGCGACCGCAACAGCGGGCTCCGACGCGCCCGCCACTGGCGGCGTGTACTGCGCGCCGTGCTGCCCAGCGGGCCGCGCCGGGGGATGCGGTGCAGCTCTATCGCCGTCCATAATTGCGCCTCTTGACAACCGCGCTCCCTATCCCCGGCAGCAGATGTTGACCGCTGGGTTGTGCCGTTGAGCCACCCACCACGCTCGACTTGAGCAATCGTAAGGGTCTCTTGCTTCAAGCTGAGGGAAGGTCGCGAAGCAGATTCATTCTTCTCACTGGAAAATGGGATGGGAGGCCAAAAAGCAGGGAGAATTGCGAATTGTCAGTAACAAGGTTCTCGATACCACATTTAGAAAACAGATCACCCTAACGGTCACTACAGCAATTGCTAATGGTCACTAAAAAAGGCAGAGACTTTAAGACCTTTTTAAGAACCCGGGCTGATTTTCCAGCAGTTTTTTTATGGGTTGCGTAGCAACCCTTTATTTTTGGTTTGACATTTCGGGGATATCATTTGAAGAGCAAATTTTTACGCAGTTTTTGGAGCACCCGCTTGAATGTTTGGAACTGTGTTCAAACGGATGCCACAAATATTGAATAAAAGCACTCTCACATGAGATCCCCATAAATACCGTACCAGGCCTCTGGATAGGATTTGGGGTACTCTTTCTCGTAAGGTCAACACCCAGCCTTTACTCTTTCAGTAAGGATGCTTCACAGAAACTGCTCTTGAAAATCAGGGTGCAAACAAATTAAATAAATAGCCTAGTATATTTACTCTCCAGAATATATAGGATGTTGGTGTTGCAGTGTGTTGAATCGTTTAGTCATGTGGAGGACCCAGTTCGATACCCAGCACGGGTGTCCGACGCGAATATTTGTTTTACGCGACCAATCCTGGTATCCTCTCTTAGATCGAAATCGATTTCATCAGTGCTACTACACCACATAGCTCTGAAATATCAGAGCCGTATAATCGATCTTTTTTTTTTGTAAGGGTCTCAAACAAAGCCAGTCTTGTAAAGGGTGAATAGTCAAACTCGCCCTTATAGTAAGGGTCATAAGGGTGAATCACCCTGCTATCGAGAGGCCTGTACCGTACGTATCATGTTAAAATCATGAATTTGCTCGACCATCCCAGCATCATCGATAAATACGGCGGATGGTACAGCCGAGCATAATATTCTTGTATCAACATGCACGAATGCAATTGTACAAATGAACAACAAAGTATCAGGTGGAGTGGTTGCTTCAAAATGAATGTTAAGATGCATCATATAGCAATAGAGGTTGATGGGGTTGTTGAAACAGCGAAAACACGCTGCCCCAAAGACGATTAACAACCTCTAATACATACATGACACATAGCAACACCACACTTTGAAACACACATCCCACAAACACAAATGCAAACGCTCGTACAAGGATACAACACGTAACAATTGTGAATGAATTAAAGTGGATGCTCAATATACACCAATGCTGCAACGGAGATTGATGGGGTCATTGAAACAGGGAAAACACGCTGCCCCAACGACGATGACAACCTCATATCACAAACACGATGCATATCAGCACAACAACCCCCTGTGAAACAACCAACTGACATGAACACACCCGCACAAACTGACATGCACAAACACACCCGCACACACATGCATACACAAATAGGATTGAGAGCAGACAAGCATAATGAAGAGTTGCAATCAGTTCATTATGTACCAATCACTGCTAGCTTGTCCCCCCTTCCTCCCCCTTTCCGCCTTCTCTCCTCTCCCTCTACCATGAAAATCTCCTCCCACCCTTTTCCACATTGTCTTCTCTCTCGCATTCCCCTCCCTACTCCTCACAACGCATCTTGCACACCTTGCAAAACAAACAGGTCAAGTAAAAACTGAATTGTGGTTGGGGAACGCACTAAATTATTCAATGACGAGCACATACTTGATTGTGAAATGGAACTTGATAAGCACGTATGTGTTGAAATCTGATGAACATTGATACAAAACAGAAATGAAACGCAATTCTTGCAACAAAAGAAACCGAATTTGAGGAATCACAAGCGTTGTTTGAAACATTGATCCCCACGCACTCCACACTGGTATACAGCAAGGCTCCAGTGAGCAACGAGCTGGGCATTGCCATGCTCCAAGGCGCCAGAGAGTTGAATCAAGGAACCGGCAGGGTGAGAAGAGAAAGCGGGCTGTTGTAGCAAGGCGTGAGCATAGCACGGGAGGTCGATGGAGCAGTCCGTCGACCTGACAAGTGAGCAGCGGTCGACGAGGGGAGCTCGGCGACAACCTCTGACAGTTCTGGTTGACGGAGGGGGTCCGTCGACCAGGGGGTAGCTCGACAGGAGCTGTGGACGACCAGAGGCACTTGGTGGTCGACTAGAGGCACCTGGTGGTCGACTAGAGGCAGTGGTGGTCGACTAGAGCACTTGGTGGTCGACCAGGTCGACCGGATAACCTGCTCGACGAGTTCTGCGGAGGCACGCGAACGTCGTCGAGGTTGCGATGGCGAAGGCGACTTCGGGCTGGTATCTCGAAGTCGATGTGGCTTGTCAGGCGCAGACAACATCCGACGGATGCCCAACGAGGCAAGTCGAGCCAATCATCTGTACGCACCTGCGAGCGTGCGCACTGTTATGTTCTACGGGGCAACGCTGGACAGTCACTCTACTGCAGCGTTGGCACACCGTCGACCTGCTCTGTTGGCAGGTCGCCTTTTCGCATGCTGGCGCGGCTCCTCTACGCAACGCTGGCAGACGGTCGACCAAGCTGTGCTGGCGGTCGACCAGGCTAGCCGTAGAATTGCTAGGTGTCTGATGTTGTCATTCTTGTCATTGTGAACTCAGTGATTCCAACTTTGCTAGTGAAACTCTTGCCAACTTCTCCCTTGAATGTGCAAGTGCTAAGGAACGCAAGCAAATCTACGATCACTCATAGTAGTTCGTGCCTACCCCCTGTAGTCTAGCTCACTACCTTTGACGAGTGACTCTCCGCAGCTATTATATGCTTTACTTTCGCACTCCATAATCATGATCTTTCTCATCTTTTTCACCCCTCACGAGCGCTAATATTGTGCCGTCACACAGAAAAATGAGGAAGTGAGGCTATGAGAGGCTCTTATATAGCTAAGAAAACAGAGAGCAGACGGCTGATTGAAGATTTCTCTCTCTCTCTCTCTCTCTCTCTCTCTCTCTCTCTCTCTCTCTCTCTCTCTCTCTCTCTCTCTCTCTCTCTCTCTCTCTCAAGCGGTCCTTCATTAAATTTTATATAGGGTACAGGCCATGCACATATAAAGCAGCCAAGCTAGCCATGACAAAGTGCCAACCGCACACCACCAGTAATCCTACGCATGCACATCCCGCACGTCCCTTGGACCGGCACCACACAAAAGCCTAGGTGACCACAATGCAGCCGCAGAGGCTCAGACCCCCAGCGTGTGGGGTAACCTCTGCCCCACCCCTCAGATGTCCAGGGGTGGTCCCCACTCCAGGTCGTCCTCTATGACCTGCCTGAGGTCGCCCAAGCGGGGCTCCAAGGGGTCGGCCGCCACCTGGGGGTATGCCATCTCCGTGGCTCTGTTTGACTTCGCCAGGAATGTGTTTGCCTGGCTTCGCTGCAACGTTACCGACCATCGCTGTCGGTAGTGCGTCGTCAGCTTGGAGGCTACTGCAATTAGCCTCTCCTGCCGTTACTTCTTTTTAGCTGCCTGTGTGCCTAGCATTCTCAGGAACCGCTGCGTATCCCTTGCCAGGGCCCCATACGTCTCCACCGCCAACCCCAACACTCCCACATAGTCTGGGCGCCCCTCGTACAACCCCCTCTTCCCCCTTGCAGCGTCCTCCGCCGCCCACCCCGGCGGCTTCACCGCCCTGGTGTCACGGCGCTGCAAGACCGGGTCAGTTACTGTCACGTCCGTGACCCACGTTTCAGCTGACTCTGTGTCCTTGAAGGCCAAGTCCGCTCGCTTGGGGTTGACTGGTTGCGAGTAGGTCGTGGTCTCGTACAGGGTCAAATAGTCAGCCTCCCATGCCATGCGCAGCGCCGCATATACGAGTGTGTTATGTGTGTTCGTCCGGTCTTTCCCCTCCCCACACCGCAGCAGGTGGTTGGGTAGGCTCAGATCTCCTATCTCCCCCCTCTCCCCCTGACATGGGCAGCTGTTGGTCACCGGCAGGGTCAGGCCCAACCGGAAGCCAAGGGCCAAGGCGTATTGCCCTGGTGAGAATGTGAGATCCGCCCGCGTTGGGATGGCGTGGAGCCAGTCCCCCGCCCCCACTCTCTGCAGGCTGATGAGCCGGACCACGTGACCGTTGTCCTCCCCCGGCTTATCCATCCTTGTATCACCCACCAGCTCCGCCGCCCTGGTGAGGTTGATCTGCTCGGACAACTCTTCCTGCAGATGGCCCTTCCCCCCCCTTCTCCCCATCGGCTCCCCTAGTAGTCCCTGCGCCCGAAGCGGGAGTCGGTTCCGCATATCCCTTAGTGTTGATCCTCTTCTGCCAGCTACTCCATCCCCTAGTGGTGATACCAGCGCTTCCGCCCGCTGTAGATGTTTGTTAGGCGAGTGCGGCATCTAATGTAGCAGCAGCTGTGCAGCTCTTAGTGACGCCAGGTGCGCCGCTGGCACTTCCGAGAGAGGATCAATCAGCCCCAATCCTCCCAGCGCGATCGGCAATGTCGCCTGCCTCCACACCAGGCTTTGTTCCAGCTCTTTGGTTGGCACGTGTAGGTGTGCCGCCCTTAGCGCCGTCCATAGCAGCTACTCACTCCACCCGCGCCACTCAGCTAGGGGCAAGACGTCCGCCGGTGTTGTGCGCAGGAGGTAGGATATCCGGCGGGAGATGCATCTGGACAACAGTAGCATTGCATGCTGCGGGTGTAGCTTGCTGATGAGCCGCAGTGGTAGTGCTATTCGCTCCAGCGTTTCCCGTATCGAGCGTCTGCAGTAAGCCGTTGTACCTATCGGGCTCCCCAGGACCTGCACCCCGTCTACCGCTGCTGCCAGCCCTTCCGGCAGGTCCGTCGTGTGCCCCGAGGGGCACCACGCCGAGGATTTGACCAGGTTGCATCGTAAGCCGGCCCCTTGGAGCTCTTGGATGATCTTGTTG